GATACTTTTGGTCCTAGTACCAAAAAGAAATTGACGTTGAAAGTTGGCCAATTAAAAAATTACAATCACGGAGATATGTCACATTGACATCGTTTTACATTGCAGGTTGTAAGATATTTCTATACATACAAATCAAATATTTTTGCATATTCAATGCAAATAATGATGTTACCTATACGTATGTACATGTATTGAAAATGATTTACGCTCGCTATGGTTTGGATTTAGAGAATATAGGCAACTGGTGATGCACATGTAATTCAATGGGGCGTGCATTGCCTCAGAACTTCATTCACCATTCCATAAGCAAGGGGTGTATATGATCGGAAAAATATGCATTAGGTAGATAGATGTACAGAGCATAGTTTCCATACAATATAAACTGATATTTTGTCCATTAATATATGTTTAAAAAATCTAGAAAACATGCGTCAAAAGAGTTCATAGTTTAGGAATTAATTGCAAAAATTAGGGAGCATTTTAAGCAATACGAATGTATGGGATCGGTAGCGTGAATACTTATCTATATTTTGGCAATTTATGTGAAGCTCAAAAGTTTTCATAAAAAAAGTGGTGAATGAAGTTCTGAAAAATGGGCATGTAAACTGGAGAAATGGAAATAAACTACGCAGCTGTGACTAATATCGCGGTCAACAGTGTAGCTTCTTTCTCACAGAGGGTGCCACCAAGAGTTTCATGAAGTCCGTAAAAAATACGATAAAGATATGAAATAGGTACCTAAGCGCTTTTATCTTGCGATGGAGTTGTTCTTACTTTTTAACTAGGCTAGTACCGTTGAGCTAGTACTGTGTAATGGGGATAACAAAAGACAAAAATTTACGAGCAAAAAAAAACTAGCAGGCTATGTAAGTTGCCTATGTTAAATCATTTAGCGATTCTCTTTCAAGGTTAAACAGAGCCTGCTTGTAAAAGAATTTGCTGACATCAAGAAAAAGATCGTTCACTGGTATATTTTTATTTTGTCAACTACTTGCTTCGAAATTTATTTGGTTTCTCTTTCCTATTCATTGCAAAAGGTAACCTCCTCTACCTATCGTTTTATGAAATAAATAATAGAAATGGGGATAGGTAACATTCCTTTATAACAAATATCAAAATTTTACGTTATTTTTAGAACAAAGGGCTGTTGTATATTGTTGTTGATGTCTGGCAAGTTGCGACCTTGTGTGGGTGTTTATTTGTAATGCGATTTGTTTGACCGTCTTCCTTATTCTTTATCTTTGCTTATTGCACTTTGTAGATTAAAATACCGTAATTTATAATCCATACCTTGTTGCAAATTAAATTTTTTGAACTTCAATAGTACCATTGAATAAAGCTCTTTATTCAATGATAGTACCTATTACATATTATTAGTATTAGTTTAGTCAGTTTAGTGTAATGTGTAATAATTGACCTATACAGGGTGATTCAAATTCAAAGGCCACCATGGGGATCTCGGGAACTGTAAGAGATAGGTAGTTTACATTTGACAAAGTTACCCTTGATGGTAACATCATCTAGTTTTAATAAGAAATAACGTTAATTCGTAAAAACGCAAGAAACTACTTACGTACGTTACTTAAGACAAAGGCAAAAAAGATGTTTTACAAGCATTAAAAACATTGATGTATACATTTTTGAAATCAGAAAAAAATTCTCTATCAAATCACACAAAAAGTAAAAATTACTTCCATAAGAAACAAAGTTGATTATAGTTAACCGGAGACGAAACGTCAAACTTCAAATTTAAAAGTAGCATCTTGTAGAGGGAAAAAAGTGGCCATAATAATGTGTCATTTATTATTAACTTCAGTAAAAAACAAAAACGATTTTCAAAATCTCGTTTTTTCCGGATATCTCCGAAAGTAGTCAGAATTTCAGTTTCAAAACTGTTTTTGTTAAGCATCAAAATACACAACTCTGCCAAATTTACCACCTACCTATCTCTTACATTTCCCGAGATTCCCATGGTGGCCCTCGAATTCGAATCAGCCTGTCAATTACTAATTTACAAAAGACCATCCCTCGAATGTAAGACATTGGGAACAAATGTATATTTAGGTATAAACGGCTAAAAAATTAAAAAAAAAATCGGTATACCGTATGTCCCCGGATTGACTTTACAAGAAGAAAAACTTTTACTATACTTTTTGACAAAAATCCATTCTCCATAAAAGCTTTTGCTTGTTCTAATTCGAAATGTCCCTACCGTTTCAGAGAAAAATATAAAAAAAACGAAAATATGGTTGAACTCCTAAAAGTCAAAACGCGTCTTTACTGTAATAACATTTCGTTAGTTACAAAGTCTTCGTTACCTGTTATTTGAATAGGCACTAGGATCGTTATATTATAACTTATAAGTATAACAAACACACTTCGTAATGACATTGAATTTCATTAAGTGAAGGAATCAAGAGTTTTACTGAGGGTCCTCCCAAACAAAAAGCCCCTGTCGCCACTTGTGAACCAATTTTACGACCTTAATTTTGAAAGTCCCCCATGCCAATAATTACGCGATTTTTACTTCATAAGTTACGTTACAAGCGTTTCATTATTCTCCTCAAGTTATGTGCGGTAGAGAGCTAATTATAATTTTGTTAACCTAGCAGTCTGTAAGGAGCCGTGAACGACCTTGCGTTTGTGTTTTGTATCTTCTTGTCGTGTGGTTATGCAAATCAAATTGCATTTTTTTTAAGCACCCTCTGTGTTGTTTGGGGCCCACTTAAAGAGAGTATAATTATTTAAATATTTGTATAGAAAACTGCTGTAGTTACGCTATTCATTATTAGGTACCAGCACATTCTAACGAAAAAAACTTTGTCCTTTACTATGGGTACTTCTCTTTTCAGGCAATCCCAGCCTTAAACCATGTGTAACGTAATTTACATATTATTTGGTGAACGTAATTTTAATACGTATACAACCCGCCGTCGCGCGTAACGCCATCTACTTCAGACTCATTGCACTATTATCTGTCATTTTGAATTCAAAATTTGAAAAAGTTAATTGCAATTAATTTTAATTAAAAAACTGTATGGTAAGTTTTTTATTTCAATACAAAATATAACAATATTAATTGTGTATACAATAGAAATGACTGAAACTGATAGCGACATGGATTGCACTCCGCCAGAGATTATAGAAACAGCAGAACATGCTACCTCAAGATTTGCTCCCTACAAAGTCGCGAGAGGTGAGAAGTAAGAAGTCGAATAGGTTATAAGTTAACCTAAAAACTAGAGTGGCATGACACGTGAGGACAAGAAAGCAGAAGTTCTCAAACTAGTAGTGAAACTGTGACTGAATCTAAATTCGAATATAATTTGAAGTAAAGGGGGTTGGAGAAAAAATTTTATGTTTTATTCGTACAAAAAATGCGTTTTCGGGACTCGGAAGGTTGCTGGACTCCGCTAACGCGTCGTCCAGCAACTATCTTCCTCGTCCCGAAAACTGACATTTTTTGTACTAATGAAACAAATAACTATTTTAGAGCACTGCCAATAAAAAGTGAACTTTTATAGGTAAAACTGGGTGCTGTTCTTCTGCTTAGATGCGCTGCAAAGTCGCCCAGTGCGAAGGAGCACTTACGAGTATTTACTTTGAATTTTGCAAGTATAAGCATTTGCTTACTTTTATTCATACGGGCCATTGTTGCGTTTATCGGGACTAATTTAGAAATAGAAACCGGATTCATTATAATTCCATAATATTCACACGAAAAATGTGATTTATTTTTAGGTGAATTGAAAGTTTTCTAACGTTTTTTGTAGGTAACACCCCTAAAATTTTAGTGTGATAAAAATTTGAGATTATTGCCATGTAGCATCTTTCGGAAAGGGATATAGTTTGCATAAAAAGCGTTAGTTCTCATTTATTTTGTGTTGTTCCCGAATTAGACGAAATTTTGAAAAACCCCTAATATGGCTAATATTTTCATGGTGGACCTAATAAATGTTTGGGATTTGGATGTACATTTTTTAAATATATCTATTATAACACTATTGAATAGATTTATTATATTCAATACTAACACAGAAAACCGGTTATTCATTTGTCACAAGAATTATAAAAGCAAACATTTTTTTGGAGGTTACGCATTTTGGCGCTGTAACTTTTGGGCCTTAGAGTCTACGTAGCTGTACAGCACTAACGACCTTTCTTAATAATAATTGACTTTATTCCCTTACTTCATATTATACAGATGCATTCCAACCATCATGAGAACCTTAAGAACATGTGTACCAATTTTCAAAGTGATCAGACGTTTCTAAATAAAGTTATTGTGCGCACGGATAGACAGCAATACACAATTAAAAACGATCTTGAAGATCACTAATAATGCGACACTTTTGCCCCTTAAACATATTTTCCCAGCCTTATTTTTAAAAGTTATTATTATTTAGTAATATTTAGAAACATTGATAATAAATTAAGATTTACACATCGATAATGGTGGATTAGGCAAAAATCAGGACATTGCGCACACCCACAAATACATTTATGGCGTCACACTGTGGCACTGTGGACGGAAATATGGGACACAGGACACTGCTATGCACTATGTGCGCAGTACCACACAGTGGTGCACTGATGTGACCTGCAACGCACTGCAGGACATTGCTAGACACTGGACAGTGCAACAAAATGTGTACACATATTGTGGGCAGTGAGAGACCCTCGACCTCAGCATATGTTCTAGGATTTGCATTTTGCAATGCCTGACAGAAGTATTGATTAGATTTTCAGTAAACAAGAAAAAGTAAATGAATGTATTAGAGTAAAAAATTCCACAAAAAATAAAATTCACATCTTCCCGCTATCCTGGAATAGTGTTAGGTTCCCAATTAACATTTAATCTTTAATTTTACATTTCTTTCATCTTATGATACACCATGTAACATAGATAATCCTGTTTGTTGCTATTTTATCATCCACGGGAACTTACACTTAGTAACGTAATTGTTTTATATTTATTTGGATTAATGGAAAACACTATAAAAAAACCAAAAAAATTATTATTAATCTTTGTAGCTATTGTACATAGTAACAAAATCTTTAAATTAAACTCATTCTCTATGAACGAGAACGTAAAATCCGAGACATGCCAAAACCGCATACTGCAAAAAAAGTGTCAATAAACGATATTTAAGGAAACTACATTTACCTTAAATTTTGGATACTCATTCATTAATATCGTAACCATTCCAACATATGGCAAAAAACCACGTGCTCGACCGACTACATCATTTTTAGTTAACCATAATTGACCAGGCGCATATAAACCTCTGTCATCAACACTATTGTTATCGCCTTTCGTAAGAAATTTAACCGTGCCATTGTTTCTGTAAAAAACAGTACCTAATATCAATGCGGGTGCCATAATTCAGTTACACCAAGAATAAAGAGAAAGTATTACAGCTTTATCAGTAGTATTCGAAAGACTTCTTAGATAGCTAAAAGTAATCAAGATAAAAGCTAGTTTGTTTGACAAAATACATTTTACATTCGTGAGTATTTCATGCAAAGGAAGGTATATAGTGAACGTAGAGAACATAAAATGCAAAGTTTTACAATATTACTCATTACATAACATTTTTTTAAACCATAGGCTTTTTGCAATAGTCTTTACGCAAGATGTCTCTTGAAAACATATAATAAAAAGATGCATTTAATAAACTTTGTCTTGTATAAGAAATGTAAAAGCAAGAAGAAAAATCCCACCTAAGGTTCGCACCATTGTGCATAAATAGAAGGTAGGTATTCCTTTAAAATATGGAAAAAGAAAGACAGATAAACTAATTTGCATACTTCTCATGGAGCTTTAGTACCCTATGTACAATGGGTATGTCTCTCCCTTCCACTTTGAAAACAACAATTTCGCCCACTCTCACTGGCTCTTCGGGATAATTTGTTAAGAACAATAAATCGCCTCTATGAAAAGCAGGTTCCATACTACCACTAAGTACGACAACAATAGGACTTTCACTCCCTGTTACAACCATTAAACCCTTCCATATCATCAATGCAGAAGAGACTATCATACCAAAGCTCAAAACTTGGTACAAAAACTGCAATTTGGGGAGTTAACATCTTTTTCCAATCAATGAATTTCTTATCAATTACCTGTCTTTTGTTCATACGACGAACATCATCGAATAATGAAGCGATATCCATTTTTTCCAATTTATTTAACTTTAGTTATCTACTTCTCATGCGGCAATCTAATCTGATACACCTCTATACCACGTCAACTTTAGCTACGAACGAAAGTTAATCGTTGAGTTGAGGTTATAAAACTGCCAAATTCACACTAAAGTGAGTTGTCAATGTTGCCAGATCGGATCGGTTACAAAATTTTTTTTCATACACGCGCTTATTATTTATACAGAAGCACATGATCTAAGCACACAAACAGCATCGATTATTACCGCATTTCCACAAAAATTAAAAAAAAATGCGCTATTGTGGCCACTTTTTCCGTCCATCCGTCCGTTCGTTCGTTGAGACGCTACTAGTTCTTTATCTTAAGAGCGATTATTCTACTTTTTTCGCTATTTGGTTCGTTATGGTGTCGAGGCTTGCACCAACGAAGGAATTTTTTCTGCGTTTATTGCTAAAAAAATATTGTAAAAAAACCAAAAAACCGTTTTTTACATGTTCCATAATTTTACACTTTTGCCGTTTATTAACGATCCTAGAGATCGTTTATAATTTTGTATTGCTGTCTGTCGTCTGTCTGTTCCTTTGTCTGTCCGGCCCTCTGTCTGTCCGTGTGAACGATAACTTTGTTTAGAAATGTCCGTTTTACAGCTCCGTTAGTTATGAACTGAATTGCATGAAATTCAATATGAGCATAGCTTTAACCATATAACACGCAATGCCAACAGTTGAGTCGAATCGATTCAAAATTCACAGTGCCCTTTTCGAATCTCGACTATTTATAAAATCTATAATATAAAAATAAGTCGGGTTTTCCTTCCTGACGCTATAACTATTGGTGGCCGGATTTTTACGATTTTAACAGAAGTTGCATCTTACACATGGGAAATGAATGCAAGTGGAAATGCGCTTTTTGTAAATCGTTTACGATTATTAATTTTTAACTTTTTTATTATTGGTTCTCTTTAAAACTTCCAAACACGAGTTTTGTTTTTCCATTCACATGTAAGGTACATTTTCACCACAGTTTACAGTTTTATTAGCATGTTAACTAAAATTTGAAAACTCGACATATGATTTTTTATATAATTGTCGATCGTTCATTGTCACTGAACCCTGAAGAACGTAAATATCTGTCAGTCGAGTACCATGCATTAGTACAAATTGAATTGAGGTCATCGTCTTCCCCCCAAACTTGACTTGATGAAGATATTTTCGCTGTCTTTCCAATATCACAGGATTCGTGTTTTTGTAGTAGGTGTCCATCGTTCACAGGTACATCTGCAAATTCCAGAACGAGTCTTTCCTCAGACGTCGAAGGTTCAGAGAAGTATTCCTTATTGGACTTCTTTCCTTGAATGCCAGTGATTTCGACATCATTACCCGCCCCATCATTACTCGTGCGTTTCCACTCAGAAGCAATCATTTGCAATGGTTGCAAAACTTGAACGCTTTGCTTTACTCTAAGCAGTTCTAAATTGCATAAATTTTCGACTTCTAATAACTGACGTTTGTAATTATTTATCGAAATTTGGCGTTTTAAGCTGGCTCGTTTATCCGCCTGCGCCTTCAAAAGAGCACTTTCATATTTGGTGAGTTTTTCTTGATACTCAGATGCAGACATAGCTGGTTTCTCCAAAATTTCACTTACTTGGTGCTGAACGCTATTTTCAAAACCAACAGTTGGCGTTGTCCTTGTTTCGTAAATACGAGATTCTTTCCTGGATTCTTCCAACAAAAATTTTTCTTCTGCAAGTCGCGTTTTCAAAAACATCATCGTTTCGTGCAAATCTCGTAAACGTTGTTGCAAATTATTCTTATGGCAAATTACGTGTTTTTCGAAATCGGTTATGTCTGTGTTTTCGGGTGGAAGCGCATCTGAAGTATAACTGCCACTATCCATTTGCCTATCTTCATTTTCTGAATCAAAATTTTGAGTGAAATTCAATTCGCAAAAGGTATTGTTCGACATTTTGAACGTAGTACACAGGCACGTAAAATAGTAATTAATTGACAGTTATAGTGAAGTACTGTAACTATAGAAAATGCGCAATATTAAGAGGTAGTCATTTATGGGGTCTAGGACACTACGCCGAATGCCCACATCGCCGACCCGATTTTTGGAAGGTCCATATCGCCGACTAGGGACACTACGCCGATGGACACTACGCCGACAATGCCCACATCGCCGACAAGTGGACAAGGGACACAACGCCGACCATGCCCACATCGCCGACAAGTGTACAAGGGACACAACGCCGACCATGCCCACTTCGCCGACGGACACTACGCCGACCGTGCCCACATCGCCGACAAGTGTATAAGGGACACTACGCCGACCATGCCCACATCGCCGACAAGTGTGCAAGGGACACTAGACCGAACGTGCCCACAACGCCGACTATTCGCAAAAAAAATTACTAGGGACACTACGCCGACAGCGACCACATCGTCGACAATGGAGAAGTTTCCAGTTTTTTGTTATAAATTAATTATGAAAATTTAAGTAAAATGAAACAAAAATGTGATAGAATCAATAAAATTACTCCACAAATCCCAAAGTTACAAGACTAAAGTTGCGATTGGAATAATAATTTCGGGACGTCACTTCACCTAGTTTGCTAAGAGCATGTCTTGAGCATGCGATCAAAAAAGAGTGGTATCGCCTATGAATCGCCTTTACAAATTTTTGTTTATATGGGAAATCGTATTTCCTGGAATTACGTAAAATGACGTCACCGACACTGCCGTTCCGCGCTGAATACCTAAACTTAAATAATATATTTCTGTAATTGGGCGTAAGCCTGTTGAGGGCCTAAAACAAGAGGGACAATAAATAAATAAATAAATAAATAAATTTATTTCCGGATTTTGAAATTTCTTTTACTGGTTTATTAGTTTTGATCTATATTTTGATGTCATTAGGCTTAATATAGTAATATCAATTGTCCCTATTTGATAGTTGCTGTGTTTTGATAAACTGAAATTCGTAAATCTTTACACCGGTAGTATAGAAGAATTTATCGCGTTTTTTTTTAATTTGAAAAAAAAAGGTTGGTTGAACGGTAAAATATCGCGATTCTTAAATTTCACATTTTAGTCAAACAAAGCGAACAATAACTAGGGCTGATTGTATAAAGGCTGGTTGAACTTCGCTTGTAGTTAACAACTGGATTAAGGTATAAGAATGGTTAAAATTTGACGTTTTGTCAAACTTCAACCAATTAGGTATCTTAACCCATTGATATAATCCAAACGAGGTTTAATCTGCTTTATACAACCGACCCTTATGCCCGTCAAGAATCAAGACGGGATTCATGAAACTAGATTAGCAAATACGATCTTAAATAAACAACCAGTTATAATCGATCATTTGCGCATGAATCTACCATTATATCAACTATTGGTGACGTTTTCTGTCAATCCCAGAATTAATCTTCGATCTCGGATCAATCTACGAGTTAGTACGGGCATTAGTGTCCGCTTTACTAACAATGACACTTACTAAAAATCTTATATTGCTTGGCCACCTTGGATTATAAGGTAAGGTGTATCCCATTCTGGTACTTTTAATCAATGATTAACTTTGACCATCGTTTATGTAATTGAGTAACGATTTATTTTTAATGTTTAATGTGTACAAAATATGCTAAACAAGATTAGTTCATATTTTATGAATTTAATGTTCATAAGCACATATTTTAACAAATGAATTACTTTTTACTCCATATTCACATCTTCCCATAGTGGAATACATCCGTTTTTTCTCATAAACTATATTTTTATTTCAATTTGCTACCTAGGTGTAAATATTTTAAGCATTTTACACTTACATTGGTATCGTGTTATCAAAAATTGTCAAATCACCGAAATTATCGAGATAAACACAAATTCAAAGGGTGGCACGGTGGTAGAATTCATTATTTTTATTCTTCGCCAATGCAAGTTATTTCAGTGCGTATAAAACTAAAGTGTGTAACTTTGTTTCACTGGCGTTTCGTCACATTATCTGACGTCATGTCATAGCAAAATTAAAGCAGGTCGTAAATTAGTACCTACTTATGAATAATTTGCTACCCCCACAAACAGTAATACACATTTACCTTGTTTGTACTAAAAGAAATTCTTTCTTGGTTTAAAATGCAGTTAGTAATTACCGTAGTATAAGTTCCTATCTACAGAAAAAGGTCAAAAATCTCACTACCTACCTGTAAACAATATTTTACTAAGAGCGGCACCTTCTTTGAACATTAATCCGCAATTCTGTATTTACCTATGATCCTAATACAGATTTTTCTAAGAAAAACCTTCAATTACCTATGCAGATGTTGGGACAACATTTTGATAAAGTCACGATGGAATATACATAATGGAAATACAGAGACCGACAGCAAAGGTTCCCATAGTAAAGGGTGAAAATTCTCACTCTACCTGTAAACAATATTTTACTAAGAGCGGCACCTACTTTAAACATTAATCCGCAATTCCGTATTTACGGGTTTTTCTAAGAAAAACCTGCAACTATGCAGATTTTAAGACAACATTTTGGTAAATTTATGGTAGAGTATAATGGGAATACAGAGACCGACAGGAAATAGCAGGCGCAAATTAGGCAGAGCGTACATTTACAGAAAAGGTTATTTCATTATTGCTCGAGGAATAAGAAAAACGGATTAGAATTTCTAAAACCCTTATGGATATTGAATAGATAATGAGTACATTTTAAGAAATTAGCTGAAGAGGGGTAGCAAATTGAAATAAAAATATATTTTATGAGAAAAAACGGATGTATTCCACTATGAGAAGATGTGAATACGGAGTAAAAAGTAATTCATTTGTTAAAATATGTGCTTAATGCTTATGTTAATATTAAATTCATAAAATATGAACTAATCTTGTTTAGCATATTCTGTACACATTAAACATTAAAAATAAATCTTTATTATATAAACGATGGTCAAAGTTAATCATTGATTAGCACCAGAATGGAATTGCACCGTACCTTATAATCCAAGGTGGCCAAGCAATATAAGATTTTTTAGTAAGTGTCATTCGGCCCTATGCTGTATCACTATCGTTAAGAATAACGATATCGTTATGCGGCGTTACCATAATTTTTTAAAAATCGGTATGCTGTATCACTCGTAGCAAGTGTGGGATAACGATTATCGTAATTCTCTATCGTTATTTTGCAACCATAACCAGAAAAACTTAACGACAGGGTTCATGCTACCCGTTTGGGGCGTAACGGTCCTGTCAGCGATTCGTTTGGAGTTTAAGCGGGTGTTAAAGAGAAAGAAAATGAATAATTTTCAAGGATTTTAAGTAGCTTTGTTTGGGCAATTGGAAAATGTAATAAGGAGGTGAGTTCTGTGTCTTTTAATACTCGTAGATTATGTTTTTATTGAGACATGAGGAAAACATCCAACGAAGAATTTTACGAGGCAACAGCGATCCGTTTCAGCTGGGTGAAATTGATTTTCAAAAAAATTTTCGAGAATCTGTAAGGCAGTGGTCCATTTCCGCTGGCAAACTCCTGCTACAAATGTTTGATTTTGTTTGCCTCCAACGGTTTTGTCTTTCCGTGGAGGATTATGTTATTACTTTCAATAAAATATAACAGTCCTCAAATTGTTTCCTAGTGGTTTTTCTCCGCCTCTTATTATTCTCTTCGACATTCGCCATGTCGTGAAAAAACAACTAGGTATAGGTACACGTACAATTAATAATACAAATAATTTTAAAGAAACGTCTGCATTTCCAAATCTGGCGGGCAATTGTTTAAAGATAAAGCGCGCACCACAACGCCCTCTTATATTTTATCGCTGTGGTATTTCACTCTTACACGCACTGCCGTTGCGCAGCGTTCCTTGTCTTCTAGAATGTGACACTTTTTTCCGAAATAGCCACTGCGAGATACCGGGCAACGTTACGATACCGTTAAAATATTGATACAGCATATCGCGTTTATCGATAGTCGTTGTGGTCATCATAACCTTTGATCGTTAATCTGCGATAACGATTGATCGTATAGAATAACGAGAGTGATACAGCATAGGGTTGATTGTTAGTAAAGCGGACACTAATGCCCGTACTAACTCGTAGATTGATCCGAGATCGAAGATTAATTCTGGGATTGACAGAAAACGTCACCAATAGTTGATATACTTTGTTTCACTGGTGCTGAACCTGACGTCATAAATGTGATTCTCTCTTCATTACATTTAAATCGATTGAGACAAAAAAATTACGTCATTAACGTAAGTCGTGACAAATAAACCAATTGATCTGTCATAATATCAATCCGTCAAACGATTTTCGTTATAGACAGATTTCCAGTGTTGATTAAGTAGTTTGTGTTAAAAGTGAAGTAAATATCATCAAAGTTAAAAACGCTTAGGCAAGTCGACAGTGCAGCAACGCCGTTAATAGACAAGTATTTTAAAAATTTTACCACATAGGTAATGGTTCGATTCGCTCATATCATGAATTTAGGTCATTCCCGTTACCATTAGGTAAATATGACGAACCGATACACAGAATGAAGATGTTCGCCAGAACACTTAGGTATTGAATTGATTTTATAGGTGAGAATGTTACACTCCGTTCCTTACACAGTAATCTTCAACGACTTGATGGCGTAGAAATATCTGCTACCTCTTTGTCCCGCAGTTTGAAGAAACTGAAATTCACGTGGCGGAGATGCACCGTCTCCAATAGATTATTTTTAATGGAACAGCCCTATGCAGTTCAAAGAAGACTACAATTTTTGAGAGACTTTAAACATACCGAAACTTCACTCTTTCCATTACGACCTGTGGTTTTAGACGAAACCTGGATATACAGTAAAGGGTCTTTTAGAAGAAGCTGTCAAGATGGTACTCTCAAAACAGTTAGAAAAAGAAGTAGTGAAGGGGTCCGGTATATACCTAATACTCCATGCAGGATCAGAAGATGGATTTGTGGTGTAGTGTCGCTTTTTGTCTTTTGTACATACGATTTGAATATGAACATTTGAGAGT